CAGAGTTGATCTCAGCCTACCACCTAGCATTACAGTCTCTATCCCTGGTTGCTAAAGGAAGCCTGGATCAGGCTGCAAACTAGTTTCCTACCAAACACCAGGAGGAAGGTGGAAAACAACCCAAAAGGGGATTACTGGACATTGCTGTTGTTGCTATGTCAAATGCTCCTGATGGTGGGGAGGGGGCCCACTAGAAACGCCTGCTGCACAAGGGAAGTGCTGTGTGCAGAGCTGCACACAATTCCAGATTTCTTTCTGCTATCTAATCCCCTCTAGAGAGAGAAGCTGCAGCTTTGGCGGTGGCAGATGCTCCAATAAGTGGGGCATATTTGCTATTTCTTGATGCTTCCGTTGCTCCTACCTCCTATACAGATAATCCCCTGATCTATCCACTGCCCCCGTTCTCTCCCACCTGACACCAGCAACCCACTCTCCTCTCCACCCACTTGTCCCTTGCTTTCCTATTCCCTTGTAGATAATAGAAGGAGGGCCTGCTCCATGATGCAACGTACTTCTCTGCAGAGTGTCCTTGTTGGGTGAAGGTGCCTGTAAGTGCGTTGAGATGTTAATCCTGGATATTTTACTGGGAGCAGAAGTTGGTGGTACCTGTGTGATTCTAGACACAGCTCCACAGCTATGCTGATCAATACTCTAGACAACACCCCTTTCAAAATTCACAGGCCCTACACCGCACATAGGAGCAGGCATGTGTAAATGCCCCAGTAACAAATACGTAGCTGAAAGAAGGCCATCACTACGCTTAAGAGGACTAACAGAAAAATGATAAACTTCTCCCCCCGGGTGAATGTTTTTCACAAAATGATCATCCATATCGGACTTCTCAAGCCTCATCTTCAAAGGAAAACTGCACACCATCTTTAAAAGACACACCTGGGTGCTTATAGGACGTATTTCCGAATACAATAATGACGCCCCTTTACTTAACGGAGTATTACCATATTTCAGAGCGAGAAGACCCCTGACATGCTAGGAGGCTGAAAGGTCTTTCCATCATTGCAGCAGTACAATCGCTATCTTGTACCACAATGCTCAGAATGTCTAAGCTAGGAAAACATTGACATTTACGGAAATGATACAAGCTAGGGACAGTCGGGCCTTGTCCTCCACATGCGTGTCACTAGGCCTCTCTAAGTTGCCAAGGAAGGTTAGCTCGAAAAATACGTACTCTTGCCAGGCTGACTCCGGTTGGAACTTTGTAAGGAACATATTTCCTGTAGATATGACCCACTCGGGAGCAAGGGATGTCCTCCATACGACCCCCACACATCCACACCTGTAGAATGGCAGAGAAGAACAGAAATACAATTGCAATTCACTTCAGCTGAATAGCAAAACTTTCAATATAGAACAATTTATGGAATCAAAGATTGATTTAGTCTCTCCCTCAAACACTAACTTCAAACCTGACTGCTCAGAGTCAGGCATCTTTCAGTTTAGCCAATGGATTAGCATATTGGCCGTAGAGACACTCTTTAGATCCTTGGCCATCAGGTGGGAGAAAGCAAAGGACTCTTTCTGAACAACACAGCTCAGACACAGATTGTTTCCCAAGTTAATGTAGAATGATGTATTACTGCACATAGCAATTAAAAATTGGACCTGCAGGCCAAATTTTGTGCTGTCAGGAAAGAGCTCCAAAAATAGCTTGGGGAGCAGAGGAGAGAACACGATAGGTCAGATCAGGTGCTACACTTACACTCTAGATGGAATTATTCACAAGCCTGCCTATGCTTCAAATCAGAAAATACTAGCTCCCGTGTTTTTGTACTACTGCTGGGTATCAGAGTAAAGTCTGAGTCTAGGAGCTCAATGCTATGCTTTTAACACAGACATGTTCCTAGCTTCTGCAGTCTCCAATTAGTGGAAGTCCCTGTCTGGTGAAAACAATTATGTTTTAAAAATAGGAAGAGAGAGTCAGTAGAAGAGAGCATTAGTTGCAGAATAATGACCTGATGCTTGATTAGTGGTCAAGGTGAGGCCAAGAAGTTTATTTTCCATGCAGAGACATTGATTCTGTGCCAACATCCTTAAACATCTTTCTTTTATACCTAGATTAATGCGGATGTAATTTTTTTGCCTAAGTGAATGAAATAGAGTGAATGCTGCTCTATGTATAATAAATGCATTCCAGTAGATGTAAAGAATATATTTGGGAGCTTCAGCTAATCAGAGAACATCTAATCTATAAATTAAAATAATGGTACTTATTAGAGGATTGGCTTCTGATTCAGTTGGCTTTTTTTAAGTGCTTGTCTTAGTGTGGGGGCAGACAAACATTTAACTATCTGACGGATGCTCTATACATTCCTGTTTCCTTTCCATCTTCAATCAGCTTCTTCCATTTCCTCCTGCTTTCATTTAGTATGACATTTGACACTTGATTTGATACCCAAATCTCACCTCAATACCCAAAAGCTCTATGTGAGGTTTATGTTCGAAGATGGTGATCACTGGCCTGTATGCTAAGGCAGTGTTATTGGTCCATGCCTTCATTATGGCTAGTTTGGACTCCTATAATTCACTGTACACAGAGTTTCCTCAACGGCTTCATGCATAGAAGGCAATTCATTAATATTGTATGGCTATAATATTAAATATTTATGAAGGGAACAAAATATTTGGTCAAGGCTGCTGCATAATTACTAGTTATAACACAAACTTCAAAAGGGCTTTATCTGTATCTCCTAGCACCTAGCTATTTAACAATCATCGTAATTACCTTTGCTTAGCCTAATGAAGTTTCTTTTTATAGTAATTGGTTTCCTGAGACCAGAATTCCACCAGAATATTTACATCAAATGTTTGTGTGGTTGTAAAGAATACAAAAAGGAATTTTGACTGAAAATGTGATCTATGGATTTTTGTCCCTTTAGTATTTTTTTTGATTACGGATATGTCTTGAGAGACAGGACAGCTGTTGCAGACAAAATCTACTCCATTTAACTTTTGGAGAGCTTCCATTTGTCCTTTCCAATGGTATTATCAGAGTGGTGTTCCTTATTCTAACTCCTGCACAAAAGAAGCTACATTAGTGGCAAGTTGTAGCAGTGGCTGGGATAGGGTTTCACTTTTTGGACATGTCATAAGTTCTACTGACCGAGGGGCCAAATATTCAGTGTTATTCGGTGACATTTTAAGCCCACAAAATGCAGATCTGCTACAAACTCAAACGACGTTTGGGACAGTCAGCAGGATTCAACGTATGGAACGTGGGAAACAAGGATGGTTGGAGGAGCAGAGAGAGAAACCTGGAGTTTAGGTGTTACACAGACTGTCTACACTGGGAGGAGGAGGAAGACTGCAGAGTCTTCTGAGCCAGGGAAAGCCTTCAGAGTGTAAGTGATCACATAAAGCTGAAGGATCCATGAAAGTCACGAAATAATGGCACCTGATTTCTACCTAAGGTACTAGTCCTGTGGGAGGCTACACCAGCTGTGCTCTTCCTCATTGCAAGGCATTAGCACTGAACCTAAGTGCAAGCAGTCTCTCCCATTCCCAGCAATGTGGTTGAGGGTAAATTCAAGTATATGAGTTTATCAGTTCTTATTTAGAGAATATAGAATTTAGTTTAAATAAGTACAGGTTGAACCTCTCTAGTCCAGCTACATCATGGTTTTAATTAGCCAGATGTCCACTTATCATGGGTGTGGCCAAGTTTGCCACCATCCCATAAAGTTTGTTTACAGCCACCAGTCCTGGCTCTCCATGTTCTGTGCTGTTATTTAGCTCTAATTTACCCCTAATGTCTCCTAACAGCCCAGGAAGCAGTGGCAGTGTTGAGAATGCTGCTGGACAACACTGACCTCCTGTGGTTCGGCAAATTCTCCAGTTTGGCACCAGCCAGGTCCCAAGGGTGACAGTCTAGAGAGGTTCAACCTGTCTATCCACTTCCTTTTTTTAAACTACACCACCACTGCCCACCCCTGTTCCAATGACTCATTCTCCTGCCTCACCATTCCATGATCTACATTCACTCCTCTCTCCACCTCCTGATCATCACTGTGTGCAGGAGATATGAAGGGGAAAAGGAAAAAAAGAGCAAGAGAGCCAACACATGCGCCCTAGAGTCCCTTCCTCTTCAGCTTCCAAGACACTATCATCCTTGGACTCCTAACACAGGTCACCCACACAGCAATCAGAGTAATGCAAGATTTCTCCAGCTGGACAGAAGACTGCATCGCATCATGTCAGACACAGGCCTCGCCACCGTGATCTCACACACGCCTGCCAGATTAAATAGTCACAATACATTATACTTGTGGGTGAATCCATGGAATCTAAGGAACCCCCATTGGTTCAGAATGCAGCTGCCACATTAACATACAGATTGACAGGAGCACATCACTTTTTTGCCCAGGAGCTACCAAATCCTGGTCTTACTCTTCAAGACTCTCAGTGCACTGGGACCAAGCTATCTAAAGACTCTCCCCCCTCTGGTACTATGAACTCAGGTAATGTACAGTCAGTAAGAATAAGATCAGCAGCCATCTGATCTAGATGCTAGATGAGCTAAGGCAGGCCACAGATTTACAATATCGGAATAGTATTCAGATACTATTGGGTTTGAGAACCTACGCAGAACAGAGGAAAAGATTTCGACTAAACAGTCACCCCTAGCTCCTCTATAGCACTTTTCATCAGTAGCTCTCAAAGCACTTTACAAAGGAGGTCAGTATCTTTGACGTAAGAAATCACCTGGCATCCGAGAAGATTACAATCGCAGTAGAAGACATTGTTACAAAAGATCCCAAGGGGGGGAGAGACTATTTAACGAAATAAATTGCTGAAAGAACATGAAACATAAAAATGGTAAATTTCTGCATCCATTTTTCTGACCATGATTAAACATATTTGGCTGTCTACTGGCTTTTGTGCAAAGATGAATGAAGTTGCAAACTTCATGAGTCCTACTGACATACCATAAGGAGCTTTTAAATATATTCAGCTCAGCTTTTGGTGCCTTTTTAATATTTCCTCATTCTGTAGGTGACAATGTAGCACTCAAAAAATACAAATCTAATTTTAAAATATGCTTCCCATTCATTTTCATTGCTGCTTTGATTTGTTTTATTAGCCAGCTTCTTTGTGTGATGACAGAATTCATTACAGCCTCCATAAAGACAATTACCAGCTCTTATCTATAAAAGTAGAGGAAAGAGATGGGGTAGGGGGAGTGTGACATGCATCAGCAAAACACAGCTAACAAAGAATTAGGAAGTTAACATTGCACAAAAAAACATACACCTAATCAAGACTCTGCCAAGGAATAACAGCAAGACAAACAAAGCCAAAGCCAAAGCCAGCTGAGAGAATGGATGGGATCAGTTACCCATGTTTGGTAGGTTTAAGGAAGGAGTACAGTTAATCCATATGGGTATGTCTACACTAGCCACACTAGTTCGAAGTAGGGTGGCTAATGTAGTCATTCGAACTTGCAAATGAAGCCCGGGATTTAAATATGCTGGGCTTCATTTGCATGTTCCCGGGCGCCGCTATTTTTAAATGCCCGGTAGTTCGGACTCCCTGCCCGCGGCTACACGCGGCACAGGCTAGGTAGTTCGAACAAAAGCCCCTAATTCGGACTACCGTTACTCCTCCTGCAATGTTCGAACTAGGGTGGCTAGTGTAGACATACCCCATGAGACACAGCACTACACTAAAATTACACCATTGTAAAATGAAGCGCTGAGACAACTTTTCCTTTCTGAAGGCTGGACCACCTGCCTTCCCAAGAACGTGTGTCATGACAATTTGTTGTTTTGCTCCATATTAAAGTCCTAGCTGGGGTGGCTCTGTGTTTATTCTGAGTGGTGTGGTTATAGTGTTGAGCTCCCTATCTCCTCTGGCTATCATGACAGTAGATCTCAAAGTTTCATTCTGATGAGATGAGCTTCTACGCTCTCGCTGCCATCACTAAAGCTCCTTGAGGACTACGGATGAAGCCAGTCAGGACCGCCAGTAACTCATCTGGTGATCGGATCAGATGTCTTTTGGGAATAATGGTAACTAACACTCACTACTGCATTTCTGGGTCTTGAGGAAAGCCGATGTAGAATCAAGAAAACTGGGGTGAAATCCAGGCCCCAATGAAGTCAGTGAGAGCGTTGCAATTGACTGCAATGGGGCCAGGATTTCTCCACCCTTGGTTTCTAGCCTTGGCTGTGTGATTTTAGGCAAGACAGTTAGTATTATCCCAGTCTTCTCTGGGGGACTGCAAGGCTTCATTCCCTATCTGTAAAGCAATTTAGAGCTTTTGATGGAAAGTGACAGGCA